ACGACGTCTCCCGTGCATTCAGCTAGATGGTGCGCCGATAGTTTGGCGCAGCCGTGTCCACTACCTTAGCCTCACAATACACAATTGTCATTGATGGTTTCCGGTGGTGCTGCGCATACTCCAGGCGCACAGTCGCGTGTAATCGATGGTGAGCCGTCTACTCGCCCGTAGCAATGATTGCACGGCGCCTTCACCTGCACTATATACGAGGCGATGGCTGTATCTACAGTGCACTAGGCACTGCCGATCTTCAAACTTGAAGCACCACAGTGACGACTCATAGACATAGACCACTGGCGCGCCGTCCGCATGTGTCACGGAATATCTCGTAGCTCTCATGTGGCCGAGACACTCGCGGAAGCTCGCGCGTGGCCTGCGTCACTCACGGCAGACCTGCGTGCTCTGGGTTACTTGGAACGGCTCCACCGGGCAACCGATGCTGGACCCCTGCACGCGCGGTTACGTGCTGTATCAAGTTTTCGTGTGAGCCAACTCCTGAACGCCTACGACGGCGTTGTGGCTGATGATCCCACGTGTCCTTCGCACGGGCCACTGCCTTTTCGGTGAGCGCTCCTTGCCGTGAATCTGCACTTGCCAGGAGTCTGATCGAAGTGCCACAATCCGCTCCGTACCATGAAGAAGGAGGCGCGGCGCGAATGTACGGGGACCTGGCCGGAAAGACGCATGTTTGCAGACCTGAAAGGATGCAAGGTCTTTCCTGGGGTATGGCTCAGCTGCGGCTGCCTGCATAGCTCCTCAGCTTGGCACAGAGCGACAGTGCCGCTTACGGTATTGCACATCCTTGACAACAGCTGAGCTAGTCGGGCTTTTGCTGGATGCTGACCTCCTATGCCAATCACCAGCCGTCAAGATTGCAGCAATATTCTGCGACAAAAAGCCTGCCCTGAGTCAGCTACCGAGGGCGGAACGTGTCCCACTTCAAGCTCGGTGCGCTGCATGCCGCCAACTGGCTTTTCAAGAGCGCGGCCGTAATCTTGTGCTTCAGTGGCTCCTATCACACGTTGGCATCGCGGGGAACGAGGCTGCAGTAAAACTTGCTAGATGAGCACACTCAGCCGAGACGGCACTCACGGACTAAGCAAGCTCTTTTGACTCAGTACCGCTCGCCGGATTTTGTGCCAACCAGTTATGACCCAGCGATCTCCGATGACAGCGCAGTTCTGGCCGACTGGGCTCCCCCTACGCCATCCCGTAATGACGCCAAGAGCTCTCGCCGAGTGGTGCCCCGTCCTCGGACTCTTCAGTGTCCATCTTTTCTATCTCCTATTAACTTCTGTCGCTCGCTGTCCCTGCACAATGCTCTCTCCTTCATCTCTTTTTATGTACCTTTTATTCTTACCCTTTTAATCCCTCCTTAGCTCCATCCCTTGTGAGCTTCTGTTGAGGTGTCGCACTCTAATGCAGGCAATTACGGGGCTCACTTTTCTCTTGTTTTCCCTTTAAGAATCACATAAGACTCGATACGCAACAACCTCCGCCGGACGCAAACGCGCGAGCATACCTACGCGCGGGTTGCCGCCATACGCCCCTGCTTACATACCAGCAACTGGTTTCACCCGCCGCGAGCGAGGACTCCTCCTAATCCGGAGGACCGGCTCTATGTGGCCAGCTGAATGGAGGCATCGCCTGCGTGGCACGAGCTCTCCGACCTGCACTGACTTCAGCGCGGTGGAAACACTGTTTCAGCCCTTGTGCGAGTGCCCTGCTCTCGGTGAAGCGGGAAAGCGGCTGGTGAAGAGATACCGTCTCGTCAGGCTACCATGTGCGACCCTGCATGACCTCATACAGTCCACTGGCTACAAGGACAATCACCACTTCACCCTTGCGGCCTTACTAAAATTTCTTGAGGCCACCAGCTTGACCAAGCGACTTTTAGTGTCCGCTTGCCAAAGTGAAGCGTGTTCTCCTCCCATCGCGCTAGTTTCCTTTTTTCTCCTCCTTGATTTCACCCCCCTACCTTTTACCCTACTTTCTTTCGTTACTCTAGCTGTCTCTTCATTTCCGCTCCCCCTTGAGTGTATCGGTTGAGGTGTACTCACGTGAGAGACACCGCATTTATTAGCTTCCCGCCTTTCTTTTTTTTTCCTCAAGAATTACCCCCCCCCCCCCAAGTGCTTGGGAATCCTGTCCCATGTCTCTCTTCTCGTACGCTTCCTTTATGCTGCCTCGCAACACCGACGCAAGCAGCGTCGTTAGCGAATATCTTGATTAGGAAAAAAACTGACTGCCCCGTATGACCCCGTTCTTTAGTGAAATTCGGTGACATTGGACGTATCTATCTATCTATCTATCTATCTATCTATCTATCTATCTATCTATCTATCTATCTATCTATCTATCTATCTATCTATCTATCTATCCATCCGTCCATCTATCTATCTATCAATCTAGCCACGTACGGTTTTGTGCTCTCAAGGCCGTATGGTTAATGCTATTCATATCAAATTTGGTATAGCGTAACATGACTGTGTGAATAGCATGAATGACTGGTCTTAGCATAGAAATCATTACAAAGTTCTTATGAACGCTTCACTTTACGCGCAGTGCCTATCGCGTTTCTGCGGCTTTTTTTAGCTTGGTATATCCAAAAAGTGTCATGATGGGACATTTCCGCCTAACTGTAAATAACCGGCGGTAAACTGAAAATCATCTAGTGAAAGTAATGTGCAGCCTGATTTACAAGCAACATTTATGATGCGCTGATAGCCGTTTCACTAACTTTCTATACATCAAACATTTCATTGCATGGTGTGACTTTATGACGAAACTGAACAACAAGGGCTGATACGGAAACCATGAAATGTGATATGGCAGATGAATTGCGGGCCACACTCGTGGCCATTTCGCTTGCTTGGTATACAACACATTTGATATTACCTGAGCTGACTTTATCACAAACAAAAATGACAAGTGGACATGAGAATATCATCGCTTTTTACGTGCAAAATGTCTTGCATGCCACGTTTAGGGCAATCTCACGGCCGTTTTGCTTGCATTATACACACCGTATTAGCTACAGTTTTGCTAGCTTGATATAAACAAAGTAGGCGTTGCGTTACCGGACTGTCTGACGAAGATAACAGACAGGTGGTGACATAAAATCACGACATCCATGTCATGAACAAGTGGATTTGCATCCTACGCTCATGATGCGCTCGCAGCCGTTTTGCTTGCTTGATATGCGCCGAAATCGGTATTGCTTAACGGGACTCTACGGGAAACACTATTGACAAGTCCTAATATGCACATAATAAAGTGCTTGTTACCTACAACATAATTTGCTCGTTGCTGGCTGTCTCGTGTTACATCACCCCCCACAATGTCTGAGATCTTCCGGCTTTTTTTGCAATTATCTTGCGTAAAGAACTTGGCAATGACACATTTATATTATAGCGACACTGAAGTGGTTTCGCAATCTTGAACTTATTGTGACTTCAGTATAGGTGACTTCTTAGAACCACGCTACGATGTTTTCTTTTTCGCAATTTTCGAACGAACAATGGCGGTATAAACGACCAAACTTTGAACGACAAGAAGCCCCGTTGCGAGCGGAGTGCAAGAGTGGAGCACGGAAGAGAGAGACAAGTGGGGCGGTGACGTCAGTTGCGCGATCAATACGGGCTGTCGGGGCCACCCAGCCTGTTAGATTCGGGATTGTGCCTTGTTTCTGTTGCGAGCTGCTGCCTAACTGACTATCAGTTGTACCAGTTCCTAGTGATTTCTTGCCATTGCACCACTATCTTCTACTGGTAAAAGATTTTGGCACCCGACAATCACTAGTGCTGTTTGTGTTGGGTTGATAGGGACTTGCAATGCCAAAGTACTGCATGGCGACCAGATCGAACATGTACAGACGCACAGAGCCGTGCAGTGTTGGTACGAGCATGACCATTCTGTGTGAGGCACTAGCACTCACGGTACAGCCGAGCATCTAAGCTACTCCGCGTAGGCCCACTTGCATTGCATGAGTTCTTGTGAGACGCGAGCGCGCCATGATGGCCTTGAGGTGAAGCACACTGGTATATCAGCATGTCTGTAGCGTTTGAGTGCGCCGTAACAGCGGTGCAAGAAAGTGAACTACGCTTACTGTATTTTCGTTCAGGTTTTTACTTACTATGTAAAAGGTTCTTGCTCTCAGTGCCACAATGCTTGTTAATTGACCGTTACATTGAAAATTGCTTTGTGTTACTTTGGTTTACAGTAATAAAGACCGCGAAAGAGCTTTGCAGCTCTATAGAATGAGCGGGCACAGGCCTACTTGACTCTCATGTCCATAAATGCTCAGCCAAACTAACTGTAGCTCTGTCCGTTCATTCGCACCTACTGAGTGACTAATTGAACTAGGGTGTAACCCACAAGCTAAGAGAGACAGAACCATGGCTTTATGAGCTTAGCCCCTAAAACAGATGATTTAAAGATATTACAAACGTCCAATACGTCGTAAGAGCAGTTTAATCATGACCTTGAGGTTTACAAACAACGAGTGGTTCAAGAACAATGGGGCTATGTTTGATTGCTGCGTTGAACTTAGCCGAACAGCAGATCGTATTGCTGCCCCACATTCATGTTTTTGGCGACAAACGTTCATGAGTACGCTTCTTAGCCACTCATGTACCCTGCACCAGGAAGTAATCCAAACCACGGGAGCACGGGGCAAAGTCCCTGTCTCTGGCGTGTAGTAACGAGCCATCGGCTGCGTGGGACATCCGTGTTGTGATTGTCGGGCCAGAACTTTGTGGTCTACAGCACGCAGCTAGACACTAGAGTATGCAGGCGATGACTTAGCGACACCTTCGCGTAACCCGCACTCTTTTGTGATCGACTGTACACACGCCCATTTTTGTTGTAGTAAAATGCCGCCCAGAGTACAACTGGATCTCTCGGCATCAATACTGACGCATACTCAGGTCTGAATGTGATGTCTCCGAATTATTGTGTGTCAATTATTCTGCTTAACAGGTTCTTTTCGTCTCTCCTAGCTACTGGAGCAGAGAAAGCCTATCGCCGTGAGCCGTGCCTTCTACTCGAACAACGATTACCCCATCTGTGTGCGTTCTCATTTCGAAATGTTCACACTCTCTGGGTACATGCATAAGTTAAGTTATTTCGAGCAACAACCCAGGGTAAGTGTTTGTTTGAATACCATGATTATTCTTTGCTCTTCATTATAGTTCGTAATTTTGATCGCTATAGATTTTATTTGGGTTTCACTGTTTAGCAATATGGAATAATATCAGAGGCTGACTTCTTAGGGCTTCCATGCAGAAATGTCATTTTCAGAGGAATAACAGTGATTCTCTCAAATTACATGGCCGCCTCTTTTCTCTAGTATAAAGTTCGTTATCATATCAAAAATACTGCACTTTTTGTGTATGGTCACCTAAAGAAGTCTTCCACCACAGCGAAACTAGCTACGAGGGCAGCGAGCCAATATTTCATTCTCCTCTTTTTTGCTGATATGCGGACACATTTCTTTCAACACTCTTTATGAAACATGCACAGCGCGTAAAACTGGAAAGGACAACGGCCATGCATAGTGCAAAGTGCGGTGGTTATACTGAGTTTGTGCATTGTTCTTTGTTGTCTTGCTTGCTATTACGTGCGGGGCATTGCTTTGAGACCTTAAACCTCAACAAATAATATTGATATATTGTGTTGTTACGTTTGGTCCGGCGATTCGTTTGGGCAGATGCCATTGTGCGTAAGCTGGTCTACTAGGGAGGCATTCAAACCTATCGACACCCAGTCTGCAAGACGCTGTCCTTTAGATGTTCGAGGAAGCAGTCGGGTCTGAACAAAAGCTTCACGAGACAAGCCATTTGTTGAACGGGCTCGAACAGCGGGGGGGGGGGGGGGATGGCGCCACTGTAGCAGGTATCATTAGGTCTACCTCTTGACTCAGCTGTTATCGTCGCCGATGCGAAACCGTCACAAAAGTACCTTCAGTCCTGAAACGTGGGAAGACGTCAAAAAAGCCGTCCCCAAGATCGAACGTTTGAACTGCCTGAAGCTGAAAGCAGCATGGACCGCTGCTGACGTTCGGGTTAGCGTCCATCTCCCCGGAGGAGCTCAACCTTCCCTCTCCGGACTCTACCTCATCGCCCTGCGGTGCCTTCAAGGCGGGGGCTAGGTACGTCATTGTGTGGTGCACCCGTGCTCTCATTAGATTATTGAGACTTCGTCACCCGATTTGTGGCGAGAGTGCTTAGCGCCGCCTTCTTCGGATCTCGGTGTAAAGGAGACGGCGGGCTATAAAGGCCGAAGAAATGAGCTGAATCATGTGAGTGGAATTATGTTCTGAATCATGAACTGGATCTCTGTTGTACATAATGTGGGGTCTTCTGAATCTGTGTACAGTTTTCATTCTTCTATATAGTAAATAAATCTTTGTTCTACCTTTATTAACGTGTCCCCTCACTGGCGAAGATCAGCTATGCGGACAATGGCAGGGTGCTGGCTACCCTAAAGAAAACCCGCCATACCTACCACCGACCTCAAGCCCATTACAACTAGTGGCAGTGGTGAGATACGATGAAAAACTTCCTAGCCTTTACAGTGTGATGCCATCAATCTAATGGCCCAGTAAGTAGCAATCATTCACGCTGGGTTAGTGGACAATTCATGAGCACGACACCTGCATCAAGTCATTCTGCCTACATAATAACGGCGTAGATATTTGGAGCAAAAAATAACTTGCATTTTGTAGGCCTGAATTGCAGTTTAACAGTATTATAAGCCAGGGAGAGATATACATATAGATTTCTTTATATTTTAGGACGGGTAAATGAATTACATGCCCAGTTAGGGTCTTTATGTTATCGTAGGAAAGTTTGAAGCAGAAATGTTGTTCTGCCTCCTCAGAGTATTCATGTTCTGGTTTTTTTTTCAGGGGTCTAGAAGGCGAGGCCGGCGGCATTCGTTGTGAGTGTCATAATTTATGATATTGTACAATGTGCGTAATCATACGAACAAATTTGTTGTTTTTCACGTGGTTTTGATAATGTTTTGCAAACGAGCGAAAAATACCACATCATTGGTGATGTCGTATAATGGTCACGCACGCTCAGTGCAACGATCGTCTGCAGCACAATCGTCAGCCGTCAGTGATCCAATCAGCGGTGAGGTGGTATGGTATTCTAACAGGTGGCATCAGAATTGCAGTGTTATTGTCAGTGTTCTATAAATATCAGTTCCTTTATGTGGTTAGGTTTTGGCCGTGGTACGGCTATATATATATATATATATATATATATATATATATATATATATATATATATATATATATATAGTCAAGTAGATCCTCCGTGAGCGGTCACAGCGTGGTTTCTTTCAACGTTTCGGCTAAGAGTCTGGCCTTCATCAGGATGTTTCTGTGGGTCGTAGTGGGCAGCGTACTCGGTTGAAGATCTGGATGTGGCGAGTTCGAATCCCGTGTAGAGGTGTTTTGCTTTTGAATCCTGGTGAAGGTCAGACTCTAGGCCGAAACGTTTAAATAAACCACGCTGTGACCGCGAGGATCTACTTGACTACTTGCAATGACGCTGCGGCCACTCAACTACCATGCCTGCCTATATATAAATATATATATATATATATATATATATATATATATATATATATATAGTGGGAGTAATAATTCAATGGGCCAGTTAGTCTTCGTGAAGGTATGGGATACGTCACAACGGGAGCGTTGTCAACAAGGATAAATATATTTGTTTCCCAACAGTTTCGGGAGGGGTCCTCCCTTCATCAGGGTATGAATTCATCCCCTGATAATGGGAGGACCCCTGCCAAAACTGTTGGGAAATAAATATATTTATCCTTGTTGACAACGCTCTCGTTGTGCCATAGCTCATATATATATATATATATATATTGTGACGGGGCGAGGTCTAGGCTTATAAGATAGCGTCCACCGAGAATCGGCAGCCGAAAAACATGTCTGAGTTGTCTCTCGCGCAAGCGCCTAACACACAGGCGTCTTCTTCATCTTCGCAAAGTGCCACGCTTGCTCCTGTCGACCATGCACCGTAACATCACTCCCCTGCAGCGGAAGCGCCGTCGCGGCGCTTAGTACGGCGACGACGAACAAGGAGGGTGATACGGTTTGAGTCTGGCAACGTGTACAACGTCTGTCTGGAGTGAGGGGGACGAAGAGGCATTGTTTAGGGGTGCGATCTCGTAGCTCACCTCACTAAGTTGCCGTAACGCTTTGTAGGGGCCATGGCAGTGTGATAGTAGCTTCTCTGACAAGTCGACTTGGCTGTTTGGTGTCCAGAGAAGTACCAGAGACCCCGGCGAGAAGTTCACGCTTTGGTGGCGACTGTCATAGTGGTCTTTTTGGTGAGCTTGCGACAAGTGCAGCTGATCACGGGCAAGCTGACGGGCTGCATGGGCTCGAGAAACGACATCGCTGGCGTACTCAGTAGACAAGGGGGCAGCCGAAGGAAGGAGCGTGTCAATTGGTAATGCTGGATGTCGGCCGAATAGCAAATAAAATGGCGAATAACTAGCTGTGTCGTGCCGTGAAGAATTGTACGCGAACGTGACAAAGGGGAGTGCTTTGTCCCAGTCACGGTGATCTGGCGAAACGTACATTGACAGCATCTGCGTCAGCGTTCGGTTCAGACGCTCGGTCAATCCATTTGTCTGTGGATGATAAGTGGTGGTAAGCTTGTGCTCAGTGGAGCAGGCGTGGAGAATGTATTCCACAACAAGTGAAAGAAAGTAACTTCCTCGATCAGTAAGCAGTTACCACGGAGCGCCGTGATGAAGAATGACTTCATACAGGAGAAAGTCAGCGACATCAGTGGAACAGCTTGACGGCAGTGCTTTAGTGATGGCAAAGCGTGTGGCGTAGTCTGTGGCGACAGCAACCCCTTTATTTCCGAAGGTGGACGTAGGAAACGGGCCCAACAGGTTAACGCCAACGCGGAAGAATGGTTCCGTCGGTATGTGAATGGGCTGTAGGAGGCCAGACGGTAGCACAGAGGGGTGCTTGCGGCGTTGGCAGCGGTCGCAAGCAGTGACGTAGTGAACCACAGAACGATACAGTCCGGGCCAGAAAAAAGCGACGTCGCACACGATCGTAGGTACGAGAGACGCCTAGGTGACCAGCTGTAGGTACGTCATGTAGTTGTTCGAGAACGCTGGTACGCAGGTGACGAGGAAGCATGAGTAGTGATTCCGGGCCATCAGCGTTGAAGCTGCGATGGTACTGAATGTTGTCGTGCAGTTCGAACAGGCGAACGGAAGGGTCTGTTGGAGCAGAAGTCAGACGCTCGATGATGGATAGTAACGACGAGTCACGTCGTTGTTCGGTGGCGATATCAGCCAAAGCGTGGATGAAGAGAACGCAGGGGTCTGAATCAAGGTCTGTCAAGTCGGGCGTTTCAACCGGATAACGTGACAAACAGTCTACGTCTGTGTGCAGGCGTCCCGACTTGTAGTAAACCACGAACGAGTATTCTTGCAGACGGAGTGCCCAGTGACCGAGATGTCCAGATGGGTCCTTTAGCGATGACAGCCAGCAGAGTGTGATGGTCCGTAACGACGGAAAAAGTTCGGCCATACAGGTAAGGCCTGAATTTCGCCACGGCCCACACTAAAGCTAGGTATTCACGCTCAGTGATGGAGAACTTCCGTTCGGCAGGTGAAAGAAGATGACTGGCGTAAGCAATCACGCGGTCCTTCCCGTGCTGTCGTTGGCCAAGGACCGCTCCAATTCCATGGCCTCTGGCATTGGTCCGAAGCTCTGTAGGTGATGCAGGGTCGAAATTGGCCAGTATTGGTGGCGTAGTCAGCAGATGGATAAGAGCCGAAAAGGTGTCCGCTTGCTCTATGCCCCATGCGAAGGGAACGTCCTTCTTTAAGAGATCAGTAAGCGGTCGAGCGATGTCGGCGAAGTTGCGGACAAATCGACGAAAATAAGAACATAGCCCTACAAACTTCGGACGTCCTTGGTTGAGCGTGGTTCAGTAAATTGTTGTACTGCTCGCACCTTTTGGGGTTCTGCTTGAACACCATAGGCACTGACAAGGTGGCCGAGTATGGTGATTTGGCGACGTCCGAAATGACATTTTGCAGAATTGAGCTGGAGAGCAGCTCTTTGAAAAACATCCAGAACGGCTGACAGACGTGTTATATGGCTGTCAAAGGTAGGTGACAAGACGATGACATCGTCCAAGTAACATAAGCAGATGGACCCCTTATATCTTTGGAGAAGCGAGTCCATCATGCGCTCGAAAGTTGCTGGCGCATTACACAGCCCTTGCGGCATGACTTTGATCTGGTAGAGGCCGTCGGGCGTAACGAAAACGGTGTTTTCACAATCCATGGGGTCGACGGAAATTTGCCAATAACTGGACTGAAGGTCGATAGACGAAAAGTATTGGGCACCATGGAGGAAATCGAGGGTGTCATCAATCCAAGGCAAAGGGTAGACATCTTTGTGGGTCATTTTGTTTAAATGGCGATAGTCCACGCAAAAGCGCCAGCTGCCATTCTCTTCTCAACGAGCACGACTGGAGATGCCCAGAGGCTGGATGATGGTTCTATTACGTCTTTAGTAATCATTTTGTTCACTCCATTCTGAATTACTTGGCGTTCCTTATGAGATACGCGATATGGACGCCGCCGTATAGGACTGGCATCACCAGTGTTGAACCGGTGAGTCACTGTCGTTGTTTGGCTTAGAGGGCGGTGGTCAAAGTCGAAAACGTCTCTATATGATGTTATCGAACTACGGAGGCTGGCAGCTTGTGCTGCAGAGAGGTCGGGAGCAATGATCTTGTTAATGTTATCTGCAGGCAGAGTGTAATTGCGGTCAAGACAGGGGGATGTAGTATCGGTGTCCAAAACAGTAACGTTGCAGCTGTCAAGTGGAGATAGGGTGGCCGAAGACATGTCTTGCCGAATAACTTGAGTCAAAAGACTCACGTTGAGTAGTGGTATAACCACTGTATTATTAGCGACGGCGACAACAGTGTGAGCAAAGGTGACGTCTCGGGCCATCAGTACGTCGACTATAGGAGTGACGAGGTAGTCACAATAGGGCACATGACGTGAGCACGACAAAATGACATATGTAGCAGCTTGCGGTGGCAAGCAAACGTGGTGACGAGAGCATAAACGGGAAGAATAGTCAGTTGGAAAATCAGCGAACTGCGGCAGTTCAAGCTGAAGAGCACCAGTGGCACAATCAATGTGCGCATAATGACGTGACAGGAAGTCCGAACCAAGTATTAGGTCATGAGGGCACATTTAAATGACGCAAAACTGAACTAATGTAGGATGACCGGCAATGGGCACACGGGCCGTGCACATCCCTTGAACGTCAGAAGTCCTCCCATCAGCGACACGAAGTGTGCGGGAAGGCGTCAGCACTTTATGTAGGCGTCAGCGAATGTTCGCGCTCATTACGGGAATGTGCGCTCCAGTATCTATAAGGGCAGAAATAGCCACACCGTCAACGTCAACGTCTAACAAACTTTGTCTCGTAGGAAGCGTCAAGAGAGGATTTGTGGAGGGAGTCGAAAATGCAGCGTTGCCTCCGGGCGCTGCACCGTTCAGTTTTCCGGGTAAGCAGGTGTGGGGTTGGATGGGTCGACGGCCTGCGAGTCTGCGGTGAGCGAGACGACTGGAAACGTCCTGGAGGCGAACGCGACTGACGACCATGCGGTGACGGAGATCGGCTGTTGAACCTTCTGTAGTTGTTTGGCGGAGAAGGCTGCGCGGCAGATGCGAAGCGGGTGCTGTCCTGTTGGTAGTGAGGTTGAGCTGCAGTCCGATGTGGCGAGGACCAGCGGTAATTGCAGTAAAGGACGACATGACCGATACGGTGGTGATGAAAGCAAATTGGTCGATCGTCGACGGATCTCTACGCAGCAGGGTCGCGAGACGGGCCGTAAACTGCTGCTCGT